CAGTCAAAAATTGTAGAGTAGAAATATTTTAAGTGCTTTCTAGTTTGACTAGAAAAGTTCAGATGTATTCCTACAGATCTCTTTCTCTCTCTCTGTCCAAAATTCTTCTTTTTAACCGGTCAAAAATTAAAAGGAAGAGATGAATGAGACAATTTCACTATTAGACCTACCGAAAGTTAAAAATCAGAAATAGAATCAAAGTTTTTCTTCGTTTTTGGGTTTGAGACAGTTTGAAAGAGGTTTCTGGCATATGTGGCTATTCTTTAAAAATTATTGGAAGTTTTAGCCTGTTAATAACCGAAAAGTAGAAGAATTTCAAGTGTCGTTCAGTTTGTCTATTAGGCCTACTGAAATTAAAAATCGAAGGAAAAATAGAATTAATTGTATTAAAACCGACATTCTCTCTCTCTCACTCTCTCTCTCTCTCTCTCTCTCTCTCTCTCTCTCTCTCTCTCTCTCTCATTGCTTTTTTTTTTAAATCACGGATTGTTGCATATCATGCAAACCTATGTATTTGTAAGAAGATGTGGACCCAAAATATTCCGTATTAAAATTGTTTCAAAATAATAAAGTTACATTTTTGTTTGTTTCATGTATAATGACGAAACTTTATGTATTTTCAATCACAGTTAGCTCGCAGTAAAGTGTTAACTTTCCAAAACAACAATGCTTATGTAAACGCGTTGTTTGAGCAGACAACACGTAATATGTCTAAGTAAAAGAGTTATAAAAAGCTTTTCTTTTAATAGCACTTTTCCCTTACGACGTAAGTACACTCTTTTGATGAATGAAATTCTTTGGATTTGTTTTCTTCTTATCATAAACCAGACAAAATAAAACCGTCCAATGATATTTTTCCATTTTCGCCGGACAAGGCAGATTATAATATAAAATCTAGGGCGAGTAGGTGATAAAACTGCAGTATAAAAACTACCTAAATCTATTAATATATCAGAAGTTTCCACCTGTTTTTCAAACGGTCACGATCAATTCCGTCGCGTTTCTTTAAACTTTGGACGCTCTCGAGGCCAGTCAAAAGCGTAGTTTACTATTAACTTGTTGCTTTTTTTTTTAAATTTACAACTGTAGAATTAACTACAACAAGCAAATAGAGAATACTAGTCCTGAGCAGAGAAGTCACTCAGTAGTGATACTCCAATGTAGATAAACCTAGGGTAAACACTCGAGTTAAGATCACGAGGCCATCGGCGTTTCAGTCGCCGGTGTGAGTATCCGGAAGTGTGATGAGGAAATTTGTGTTACTAAGGGATTGGGTTGACCCATTGAGATGATGAGTGAGGAGTGGAATTAATCCTTTTTGATCATTGTTTTCAACGGATTTCAATGATGGCACGATTGTCGATTGTTCTCAGTCAAAACTGATTTCGAAATAAATTCCACCCATTGTGTTTCTTTTGTTTCCAAGGAACTATGAATCAAAAGATAAATGTAGAGGCGTGTGATTATTAGTCTGACATTAATTCTAATGCCACTTTATTTCATATTGAAAATAGCCCGAATAAAGCCAAATGACGATTTTCTCTACTTTTTCATGATTTAAATATGTAATTTATATAATCAATGAGAATAGCTAATAAAATACAGGTCCACCTTCTATCTTGCGACATAATATTTACCCCCTTCGCCAGGTCTACTTAGTTGGGAGGAAAACAAATCTGCAAGCACACGCAAAAGATGTTGGTTCATAAAGTTATCCCAGAAATTGAAGTTTCGATTTCAGCCAAGTTTAATCAACGATTTTTTTTGGGGGGGAAGCATGATAACTAAGATTGATGATTCGTTTAAACCTTTAATCAAACATAACGGATGTGTTTACTACGCAAGTGAGAGAGATTCTTGAGAAATGTATGTTTACAGAAATCAATATTCCAATGGTACCTCTGCCAATCAATATCATTTTTAGAATATTTTTTGAACGGAAACTGGGGTACTTATTGGGTCTGCACTCGATGATCACTTAAACTCGTTTCACCTTTGAACCATCTTTAGTGAAGAAGAGATCTCATTGATTTATTGGGTCCGTCAGTTGTTTGCGGCACATAAAGCTCTTCTCGGACAATGAGACAGACACCAGGCTGAGATTTTCACCTGTATATTTTTGGGTTGTTTATTTAATCCGTCTACACTTGACGATTACTTAAATGCGTTTCAGATTTGCGTGTCTCTCGAAGACTTAAGTGCTTTCTCTCCACCTTACATCAGTTCCATTGCGCCAGCTACATTCTCCTTTTTAGTACGCGTTAACACCCAATTTCAATCCATATTTTACCTCAATTTGATTAAGGATGTATTCAGGGTCTTATTGGTGGGCTTGAAGCTAAGCTTAATCGTGAGGTGAATTGTTTTGTACGTTTTATCTTCAGTTCTTCAGGGAGGTCCAGGTAAAAGATCTGTACACCGACTTGAAGTGTACTTTTATACCTTTACTTGCAAGTAATACTTCCTTGAAATCTTTCTATATCAGATATCATTTCGCCTTCTGACCTCTGACCCCCTAAACACAACTGATTAAAGGCGTTCCTTCCTCATACGTTTCTTCAACTCCAAATATCAAGGGGTAAATGTTTTTGTTAAATCTTGTTGGATATGAAAAGATACTGCCAACTCTGATCTTAATTCTCTCGCGACGGTCACTCTTCAGAAGGTTACGAAGCTTGAATGTGTTAATCATCCAACAGTCGGTCATCTGCCCTGAGCCGGCGATCTCTCCCTTCCTCCAGAAAAAGCTTTGCTCCATGCAAAATTGCAACAGGGAGAAACTCTTCTTCCGTCAGAAACTTAATGATTATGGAGTCTCGTTCATCTTTTTCACAACTAGTCTAGTCGCGTTCAACTATAATAATCCCCTTCTAACATCTATTTGAATGACCCCTCATATAACATTTGTTGTCTAACAAGGTAAATTTACTTTTACAAGGAGCTTTTCACTCTTTAAAATGTATTATTATTGACTATTAACTTTATCGATGGTCTCTCATTCATGCAAAAGTATATTGTTATACTGTACGTAAAAGAGAGTAATTATGCTAAAGATTGCATTTTATATGTTTCGGGGATTGTAGCGGTTTTGTATTTTCTCGTTGAAATGTATTCCTCTCGCAGTCAATACTGGCTCGTGATTGAAAAGTGAGTTTGTCTTTTTTTAACCCTTTGGAGATACAAGAAAAACATTTTGCTTGCAGTGTTAAAATGACTTTTGATGTCGAACATCTGGATCTAAATCGCAACGCAAATAACCAAAATCTGTATATTTATTTATAAAACTCAGTGATCACAGCTTTTTATAGTAGGACATCAACGGGAAATTCTATCTTTTTTAGGTTTTATTGTTTCAATGGGTATTTATGTTAAGATAATCCAGTCAGAAAAAGGTTTTTTAACTAAAATATAAAAAAATCAATATTTCGAGAACAAAATAAACGTTTTACCTTTTAAAACAGGCACATGGCCTTGCTCAAGTGTTATAAAAATAGAAGATTATCTATAAAGAACATCTCCTCAGACGGAGAGAATGCCAAGCTATTAATCTCATCAAATCCTCGTGACTGACATCATTAACAAACTTTGGTGTCGTTGTCATCCAAAAGTGTCAACACATCGTGGACGACAATTGAATCAATAGTTCTAACAAAATATGATGATATGAGATTAACTTATCCAGGGAAAACGTTACATCCAAACCCTGATATGGCTGCCAGGACACGAAGGGATTGGAGATATCGGACAGACTGACAAACTAGAAAAAACAAGAGCATTCTTGACACCATTTGGCCCACCAGTGTCCTAGATTCATAAAACTCTGTACACGACAAATATTTAAAAAAGGATTAAAAGGTGCACAGACTGTCAGATTTCCAAGCACCACTTAAGCTCCTCCATCTTCCATTCATAGCTGGCCTGGGAGTGACTAACATATTCCATACGAGGGAGGCTATAGAAGACAACGGACTTACAAATTAGCAAAAACAAGAGCAGCCCTGACCCATTTGGACCAGTACCGCACATTGGCACAACTGAAAAATGCTAAAAGCGGAACCGAAAAACAGAGATAAAAATGTAACGGTTATGATTTCATCAGGCGCAAAATAATCAAAGAAATTCCTGAACGTCTCGATCAGCAAAACAAAAATTTACCTGTCTACCAGTAGGCAAGAAATCAAGGGAGTTAAGTCACCACAATGAGCACACTGAGCCAGAAACCTGCCGAGTCTGACATGAAATAGCAAGTATCGGAACTTGTCCTTTGTCACTGGGAAACATTAGTCTCTTCGGAAAGGCGATATTATCGCCTAAAGAAATTGGTTAAAAGGAAGCACGGAAAGCGCTAAGCATATTGAACATTTTGAGGGTTGAAAATAAACTAGGGTCAATTCCATACTAGATCGCTCTAAACATATCCGACCCATGATTATATTCTTGATTGGGTCCTGAGCCGCATTTTTGGCCACCTCCAGACCTGTGTTTCGGGAAACCAGACAACCACAACCGTTTTGTCGATAGGCTCAAGTTCATAGTTATGCTACAGCAAGAACGAGAGGTCCACGAAGTATCTCTAACGGACAGAAGTAACCACGTTTGGGGAACACAGGCGAGCAAGGAAAAGCTCCCAACGGCTACAATTACTCCAAGTGCAAAGGTCAACTTAAGAAAGATCTATTTGCGTTAATTGTTTCGTGAGAATGCATTTCAAAGCGTGAATGTGCGAGTAGTTCACGGGCGGAATAACCATCCCATCGTCCCTTAATTAGACTATTTAGTGTATGTCTGAGTTAATGTGAGTGAAAGTAGAAAAAAATGTGTTTAAGACTGAGTGAAAGAGCTTAGGATAAAAGTGCATGCGGTTGAAGGATGAAAGACGTTTTTCTCGATGGTCCCTGAAGCCTAGTTTCAAAATACTAGAGTGAGAGACAGCTTTGACAATACAATGTTAAAGAATCTTTATCATTTAATTTACTAAAATATTAACGCATCTGTTTCAGAATATTTTAAAAGGAGATGACCTCCAATGCAATACGAGGTATACGAAGAAAAAAATCTTCGTTATCGGAGGTTAAAGTCGCAGTGCTCGGTGCTCCAGGAGTTGGAAAGAGCGGTATGAACATTTTAAATTAAATCAATGTTGGATGCAATAAATCTTTTGAGTATTTTTTGAAAGATCGAGTCCAAAGCGATAATTACATGGTAGACATATATAGACACAGAAGCTGGCTAATACGCTACGTGGGCTGACTTATTTATTCATAATGCATTTTTTTTTAAATTAACGCCTGCTAGACTAGGTAATAGGTGCTGAGATTGAATAAAGAAATAGGATTAATCTTGTTTGAAACAAACGAACGAAAGGAGGATGTAAGACTTGCGAAAAATCTCTAAATTAAAGGTAGAAGTTTTAAAAAGAGTGACAGTCTTTCCCTGGCTTTTTTTTGCAAGGGGTCACATCTTTTTTTTTTTAATCTATAGACGTGGAATCCTACGTAAGTCACGCTGCCAAAGGATTCAAGCTGGTAGCAAATCATTTTACTACCAAATGAATAGGAGAGCACTGCCAGAAACAGTTAATGGTACGTGTCAAATCCCCGGCCTCTAGATCTGTATTATTAATGCTATTAAATAGTACATTACTTCAGGAAGTCACTTACCAAGCTCAAATAAATCACTCAGTGTCTAAGCAGCGAGATTGTGTCTGCTTAGGAACGAGGGGCTACAAAACATAGAGGAAATGTGCTGCGAGTAGAATTCAGACTTCGGCATTGCTTCATATATCAACATCTTTCAATCAATTAGAGAGGAAAAGCAGGCAAGGGAAAGTATCTACCACCATCTTATATGACTCACGATGCTGCAGTGGATGTGAAGCACTCAGTTCACTGGCTCATATTCGTGGATATTTACCATACAGAACTAATCTGGTGACTCGATCTTACCTCCGACTCGTTATAAAGAACGTTATGGCTCCTGGTAAGTTTCACTTTCGCGCCAGCATTTCACGGGTGGTTGCGGGGTGCTAGCTGTGTGTGATTACCTGAACAGCCATAATAACGTAGCTAGAGATTTAGGCTTTACTACCAAACTAAATAAGGCCAAGAGAACTGCATATATCATCAAAACTGCTGTACAAAATGACGGCAATATAACCTCTTTGTACTCGGAGAAAAAGGAAGAACAAGGAGCTAACTATCAAGCTCAAGGACCTATTTTTCTAGTTAAAAAAATATTTTTGTGAGAAATGTCGGACACTGAGGGAATGCAGGTAGATTGACATCACTTTTCCATTTTTGGAATTTTGGTTTTTACCCTTTTGTGGCGGCTTATCCCTTCGTTTACTAATCTTTTTCAAACCTATCTTCCGCCTTCAATCCTAGTTTTGCTGGTTGCCAGTCCAGTCAAGACTCTAGTGTTTGCGTATTACCGTTCTTCTTTCTAAGCGTGGTTTTTCCGTTTTGTTTCTGAACTTTTTTTTGTGTTCTGGGTGAAATGCCGAGGAGAAATATCTATGACAAAAGGAAGTTGCTTGCAACGTCAAGGAGCTGCCAACCAGAAGTTTAAAATTTATAAGGTTTTCGTTAGAATTTTTTTACACGTTTATGGCAATGATTTGTACAATTCACTCAACTTCGAGAGATATTTCAACCACTAAGTCCTGCCCCCCTGGTTTTTCATATTTGTGACCCATCCTCAAGAGAATCATCCGTTTTAAGAGGTTCAGTATACTCTAGAAATTTTCACTTGTTAAAAATACACAATTATGGACATGAAGTGTCTTATTGATGCTATTGAACACCCAACAGAAGAAGAGTAGAGTTTTTCAAAAATCGACTGTCCTGCTTCTCTTAGCCCAATGGATTTATTAAAGAATTCAAGCATGCAGTTTTGTTAGACCCTGCCAGAATTGTTAGGAAGTTTGTATGTATCTCTTAAAGTGGTGAGAGTATTTGCTTTGTTCCTTACTCTCCTTGCGAACATTTTTCAACTACGTTCAAGAATTTTCTTTTTTATTAAGGTCGACAACCCACAATGACGTTTAGCAAATAAGAACAAGTTTATAATTGATAATTTGCCGGGTGGAAACTAAACACAGGCGAATTATTATGTTGGTTTAAGTAAAGTACATATCTGGTGAACAATTAGGGACCGAGAGTGGAGTGCGTGCTAACTACGTAATATAACTTGTTTGGGTAACCGAACCCTCTGGAGCCTAAGTCAATTAAAACTCGCACCCGGTTGAATATTAAACAGAGAAAATTACAATTTTGACTTTTTTTTTACCGTTTTACAGTTTAAACGTTTCGGACATTAGGCCGAATAAGGACAAAATTAACGGGTAGGACGATACGCAAAAGAAGATTCTAAGATTTTGAAATAATTAACATTCCGAGTTTACATATTAATGAGTCAAAACATGTTTTAACGGCCAATATTTTATAATTTATGATAATTCTTCTCAATTACCTCTCACGGGGGGTTCCGTAGCTGCAAGATCAATTTTCAATAATAATATTTCAATAACTGACAATATCTTAACATTATCAGTGCACTCTAGTCTATCTTTCAACTAAATATTCCCTTAAAACCTACAGTTTAGGCTAAAAGCAACAGACTATGTTTACTCTATTTTTTTAAACAGTTTAATGTCAATTTTATAGGTTTGAGCTACCGATTTAAACTAAAGACAAAAATAGATATACAACCGTTTCCCTTACAAACAGTTCGTGGTGTGAATGGTCAATCAACTTGTTTAATAAATTGTGATTAAAGTATAATATTAAATTATAGCGTGACTGTCCACAGGTTAAGAAAACAGAAAATTCATTGGATCAGTTTTTTTTCTATTATATTCTATTTCTATTCTGTTCTAGGCTAAATGCTGACTATTGTTCGGCCTAATGCCATAATGATAGACATAATTTTTTTTCAATTTCAGCTCTTACAGTCCGATTCTTAACGAAGAGATATATTGGCGAATATGACCATCAAGCAGGTTCGTTTGTTTAAAATTGTCATTTATCCGTGGGTAATACAGTCGCCTTTCTTTTTTCCAGATATGAAATATAAACACGAAGTTATGGTGGATGGGGAACCGGTACTTTTTGAAATCCTTGACACATGCCCGAAGGTATAAAAAGAACAATTTTGCCATTTAGTATTAAGCTTAACTAATAGGAATTTAATAATCTAATTGTTGTTAATTTAATTATGAAAGTTGATATTTATCTAAGAGATCGTTTTGTGTAACTAAAAAATGTGTGGTTTGATTAAATTAATTTTGTTTTCAGAATGAAGATGATCTACCTTCAAATGAAACTTTAAGTTGGGCTGACGGTTGCCTGTTAGTATATGCCATAACAGACAGAGTGTCCTTTAATTATATTAGAAGGGTTAAAAAATCATTATGTGATGTACCTGTAGCACTAGTTGGCAATAAGGGTGACATGGTGCACCTTAGACAAGTAAGCTGTGATGAAGGTAAAATTTTAATTGACCTCTAAAACTTTCTTATTTCCAAAAAAAGGAATTAAAATGGATTTTATGAAAATAGGTGAAATACTAGCCAAGGATTACGAATGTTGGTTCGGCGAAATAGCGGCAGCCGAGCAGGTCACACAGGTCGCCGAGGTCTTTCACGAACTGTGCCGAGAGATTTTAAGTATACGGAGGAAGAACAAGCAGTCCTTACTGGATCGCATGCTAGGTGGAAAATCGACTGCCAAAGCGTATGCAAGAGGGAAAAGTGACTCTGCATTGCCAAAAGAGTAATATCGAATAAAATTGTAATCAAAAAGCATTTAAATTAAATTGAAATCTGAACCAAGGTCAATTTATTAGTTTTTATAATAAAACACCAAACACTGAAAATAATTATGTGTTTGACAGTGTAAAACAGTTCAGAAAATGTTTGTTAAATATTTGTACATACTGTAAATATTTATTATATGCAAAATAATATTTTATGAGGTGCATGATAATCGGGAATGTAACTTTATTTACTTTTCTTCTATATTACATTCAAATAAATTATGATAAATTAATAAAAGTGGTATTTTTCCATTTTTCTTATCCAATAAATTATTAATTTTCTTGCTTTTTGAGAATTATATGGAACTATCAACAATTCATCGGGTGTAAATATAATTTATGGAAAATTCGACTTAAACTTTCCATGCAATTACTCACGCTCCGTTTGGCTATATTGTGTTTAGGTGTGCCTACTAAGATATATTGGTTTTATAGGCTTTGTTACTTTTATAAGTTCATAGGGTTCATAGGGACTTGACTTTAGAAAAATCTCACAGGCTCAGCACTGAAGATGACAAATGCAGAAACGAACCTGACAGCGAACCCAGCGAGGAAAGGCAAACCAAGATTGATCGGTAAGGACTAACGATCAAACTGTTGATTCATCAGCTCACAGACTACAGGAGGAAATCTTGGTTATTTGGGACAGGCCCAAATAAACTTTAAAAACTTGTGTCAGTTTTAAAAACATCCTGACGTTTTTGTTAAAACGAGTTAATCATATTTCTTCAGTTGTTTTTAAACATTCCCAATCAATAAGATGATGGAATATAACTTTCCTCCCCTCATAAAAACATGCTCCTATTTTCTATCCAGACAGTTTTCTTTTGATCATCCTTTTCCCTCATTGTTGCCGGTGTTCCTCAAGGCTCTATCTTTGGGCCCATCCTGTTCCTTGTAGAAAACAACAAAACATCCCGCTCGTGACACTAACTTTTTCATTTCAACCAATACCTTACATAAAAAGATTAACTAAATGAAAGAAGTTATTTGGTCAATCAGGCCACGAAATATAATGGACTTAACAAAAAAATATCTTTACACAAACTCAAAGAAAGCAAAAACGATTATTCTTAGGATTTTTCGAGGAATATGGTAAATCAATCCTACCAAAAAAGTGTTCCAGATTTTACGAGAAGGGGAAGATTTTTTTTTTACTTACTGGCCGTACGCTTTTACTTATTAGAAAGATTCCATGTAGTATGAATCATACTTTTGGGGGAAAAGCGCGATTTTGGAAACAGGGCTGTTTTATTGTTTATAGAGGATGAAAAGGATTAGACCAAAGCCTAGCAAAACCTAAGAATTGCGTCCTCTCTGAAAAGATCCGGAGGAAGGACCCCGGTCTTTGCAGAGTCTATATAAAGAGCTTGTTATAAACGCCCCTGATACAATCCTGATACTTTGGTAATAAATCCTACCTAGCGGTTTTAAAGTTGATATTCGCGCTGTAGAGTAACCTGCTCTGCTCCGTATCTAAACTTTGCTCGTAAGTACATGCTGAATATTCTTAAAAGAATGCTTCTATTCTCTCCTCAATTATAACTGGCGAGGAATCTCATTAGACCTAGTATTTTCCTTTCTGAATTAATTAATTGGGGTATTTGAGGTTTCTATCGAAAGCCTTTGTCGAAAAAAACGCCTAAATATTTGACTTTATTTCAACGCCAGAAAGGAAAAGCGGAAGTGTTACATGACGTTTTCTCAGTCTACAAAAATGTGCAAATACCATTTTGGACGAAGAAAATTTGAAACCCACATCGTCTGCTTTTCGTGACAATGTGTCAATGGCGTTTTGTAAAGTCCTTCCCACGTTTTGAAAAAATTTTTCCAGACAAATAAAAGCAAAGATCATCGACATACAAAGGCCTGACTATACAATCATCTATATGATCATAGAATCATTTTGTAACTCACTGGCCAGCTTCAGGTTGTTAATCAGCTTCAATAGCTTTGCAGTTTTTCTTCTGTCTGTACTCCTATCCGGTGCATGTGCTTTCTTAAGTGGCGATGTCCTGTCAGGATTTCCCATAGGATAACTTCCCTGTGGGATTAGACGAGTACTACCATCGGCTCTGGCGTCTAGGGCTAATCGAAGATGGAGGCAAATTTCCCTGAACTAGTTGGACGGACGGGTGTCAACTATGAAGGAGTATAACGTGATAGGAAACTGTTTGGGAATCGCCCCAACCCTCTCACACGCAGTCAACACACTGCTCGCTAATCGTCCTTCAAACCAGTCGCCTAGTTGAGTCAACTGAGTTCACTATGGAAAGCGTTGAAATTGCAAATTTCAATGTGGAGTAGTTCATTGAAGATACTAGTATTAGTCCCGTGACATGGGACTTTAGGTGTGAGGAGAGGTACAATTAAAAGATACCAAGCTTGGAGTAGCACAATAGTATATGAGAGAAAGCGCCCGTTTCCAAATTTTATAACAACGGATAAACCCACTTTTCTTTACTGGGTTCCTCATTTTTATCTTGTCTTTTTGCAAAAGACTAAGCAAAGAAGTGCTCCTGCTTCCTCGGGTTCTACACCGTACTAACCTCCCGTTGGAAAGAGAGTTGGTTCAACAAACCAGCAAAGAAAGAGTTTTCACACGGCAGTAAACTAGTTGAGAGTCAACCTGGCAACTTAGTTGAATGAACCAAACCGCCTCGTCTGAAAGAGGCCGATCCATTTTTAGATGTATCCTCTCAATGCACCGTTAAAAGACAAACAAGTGGCAACTTGTAAAATATACTCGAAAGGCTTAAAACCCTTAATTTGTATAAACTTAATCTATTTTTATTACTACTTACTAAGAATTATACAATTATTCAGGACCAAGAGTATGTTTTTACCGTTACCTAACATCCTTCTTTTCTTCCAGTTGGACTAGCTCATATGGATATTATAAAATAGTCGTAATATATGTACAATTAAATATATAGATTTATAGATTAATGATGGCTTTCCCTAGCGAAATGTATTCTTTAGAAAAACAAATTTGAAACAATTCAAAATAAAAAAGAGAATAATATAAAGAAAACTCACCTTCCAGCCGATTCCTCGAAAACTCAAAGATGGCGAGAGACTGTGAAGGAAAAACGTGATCTGAGTCGTTAAATCTCGTTTTCTATGAGATCCACTGCCAACTGTTGATTTCGCCACGAAATCGCGCTAATTGACAATGGCATAGGATAAAAAAAAATTGAATTTTTCAGTCCCAACGGTTCGCAAAATGGCCGATGTGAATTGTTCGAGTGAAAAAACGTGTCGGGCGGAGAGGACCGAGTGTAATTATTGCCGGACTACGAGTTCAAGTTCCGAAAAAAGGCGTTAAAAAGGTGATGATTTGTTTTTTTGTCAGTGTAGATGTAAATAATTAGATGTAATTCCCTAATCAGGATCATATTTTGGGCTTTCGTCTGACCCGGTTCCTTCACTGATTTTGGAGGAATCTATATTCCATATAATTTCATGTACTGACGTCTTCTTTTCCCTTGTAATCTGTTAAAACTGTAATAATAATAATAATAATAATAATAATAAGACTTTATTCCCGAAATGGAGGTACAATACATAAAAAAAGAACAAGTACATCTTGGAATTATTCTATTCCATCAGCCAGAGCCTCTCCCCCCTCCGAAAACAAAATTTTTAGTATAAAAATTAAAGATTTAATATAAATATTTATTTCCATGAAAGTATAGAAAGCAAGAGAGCATGAGAGGGAGAAAGATTAAAAAAAAGCTAGAAAGTATCTAAATTGTTCAAAAATGAATTAATTTCCCTAGCACTTTTACTATAAATTGCATTGAAATTTATTAGAAATTATGTTTTTTACTGAAGTTACATTGAATTAAGGGATTTTGAGAAATAACTAAATAAAAGGTTTTAATTGCAAAATGTTTATTGGTCGCAATAATTTTTTAAAAACAATTATTCAGAAATCGTGAGATGCGGTTTGGTGTGATGTAGGTTTCAGAAAAACATTTTCTTTATTGTGCCACAGGCGGGGATACNCGAGGAGTGGTCAGTATCCCCGCCTGTGGCACGAAAAAGAAAATGTTTTTCTGAAACCTACATCACACCAGACCGCATCTCACGATTTCTAAATAATTATCGATTAACGGTCACTAACCACCACACATTTTTAAAAACAATTAATACTGCGTATAATGTCCTTTGTTGGCTAAAACCTGTGTACACCTGTTAGGCGTATTGGTAATAAGGTTGTCACTAATTCCATAAGGAATTTCACTACTAGATGTTGCAGCACTCAGTTGTTGCAGATCAACTGGATGCGGATGTTGATCGAAAAGCCTTCTTTGCGACGCATCCCACTTATCAAAGGGGTTGAGGTCTTGAGAAAAGGAAGGGGATAAGAAATTTCCCGGTTTTCTAAACATTGATGCACAACTCTGCCTCTATAAGGTCTGGCATCCAGAAATCAAAAACCCCTACAAATGAGAAACCTGGTTGAAGGGATGTATTCCTTGATAATTTCTTGGACATAAAGGGCTGCGGTGAGGTTGCTTTTAACAATATGGAGTCCAGTTGGCCCTCCAGTGTAAATCCTAGCCCAAGCCATTACACTGCATCCTACAAACTGCACTGAAGGGAGCACGAACTGGGGCATTGTCCCCTGTTCTCGGTAAAGTCTTTGGTGCCTGCTATCACTTTACAGTCAGGAACACGACTCATCGTGACCATAACATCATTCCAATTGGCGTTCTCTTCCAGGTGCTCGCTGCCCCATATTCTCCTGTGTTGTTGGTGTCGGGCTGTTCCTGCAGGTCGCTCAAAGGGGCCTAATTATGCGAGGCCAACTTCCCCCAAAAACGATTACAAATCGTTCGTGTTGATTGCCTTGCCAAAACATCTTGCACTTCATTTAGGAAGGGCAGGCCTAAGGAATGGGTTCCGTCTTGCAGCAATGACTATATTTCCGTACCCCCTTAGTAATGCGCTGAGATCTGCTACCAGGCCTCCTATTGGCACTTCCAGTCTCTCGGAATCGGGCTAAAGCCTGGGAGCCCACCCAAAGAGAGAAACTCAACTACTCTGTGATATCCACTTGCCGGTGACCTCGTTGACTCATTTTCACAATAACTTTGAACTTCTGGTTCAAAATGATGCCTTTAAGACTTTCTTAAAAGGAATACAACTGGAGTCGAGTGGAGAAATGGGCTAGAATTCACTAAGCTTGGAAGTACCCAGGTAGCGCATACGAAACTCGGCGAGAACAGGACATATTGCTAAACAATGGAATACGTCCTCTCTTGCATTTCAGTTACAGAGAGAGCACCGGGTAACTTCTCGGTCCATCCATGGGGTGTCGTTAAGAGGTAAAAGTTCCAGTGCCAATTTGAACAGCCGTCTTGACTCTCTACGGGGCCAACTGTTGGGTGATTCATTATTATTAATCTCAGAGAACGAGTTTGATTAAATGTTTAGTTTCTTATAAAACAAGAAACTGGATGATGATATGACACTAGTCGCAGCCTCTTCCTTATAACTCTCATGGTGTTAATTAAAAATGTGGAGAGTTGCTCCTTCCAAAGATGAGAATCGGAAAAGTCTAGATCGAATTTGCACGAATGCTTTGCGGCAAGACTGATCCAAGTTTTGAACCATGAAGTTCTTCTATTGATTACTTCAATTGCTAATATTCTCGGAAGTCAAAATCATGGTAGACTTAGAACTTCGAGGATGTACTTGAAAGGAAATTTTATTGTGAAAATCTGTTAAACTGTATAGAATATTGCAAGGGTTGTTTCTAGGTTCACTATCAAATCAGTCCCCATTTCTTTGTTATTGTTGTTTACCACAAATGTTTAGTCCTCAACCAATGTATTTATTTTTTGAGGCAGTATGAGCTTTATTCCTAGTTCAACTTTTCTCTTGAGCCCACCTGTCTGCTCTTTTAACACATTCTCTTATTAAAAAAAAAATAAAATAATTTTATGACATATTATTTATTGTCATTATTATTACTATACAGGGATATCAGCATGTTTTTATAATATATATTCATAAACTTATCTCCATGGCAGAAAGTACAATGGAAACAAAAACCCATGACAATTGGTGGTATATTAGGTCAATTATTCCAACAGGTATATAAAATAAAAAAATTCACTGTTTCTTCCAATATCTGTTACTTATAAGAAAATGTGGATAAGAAAAAAAGGTTTACGGCCAAAAAATAAATATAAATTAATAATTAATAAATTATGCTTACTTTAATGGAATACATGCTGACACAATTTCTTTATTCTGCACTGCTTGTTTTTGTTTTATTTATATAAAAATAAAAATTTCTATCAATATTTACAGTCAGGTTGTTGAGAAACAGCATTATTTGTCATCATATGTTTCTAGGACATCAGCCAAATGTTCATTATCCCTAGGCTTCTTGAACTGGCGTTTTCTCTGGCTAGGCTTTTTCCTCTTTTGTGGCTGAATGGGCTTTTTCAAACCATGGTCCTGCATTGATCTTATGCCCTGGAAATAATTAAAAACAAACATTCAATTCAACATATCGTATTAAATAACTCTGTTCTGTACCTGTTTCTCGAGGTATTCTTCAATTTTCTGATCGTCCATACTTTCAACGGCGACAGATCTCCACAATTTTTGAAATTCCTCATCTAATCCAAGAGTGGCCGCTCTGTCATTGTAGAACATGATTTTCTTCTTGTCAATCGGACGAACGATGTATATGATTTCATTTTGTAAACTCTAAAAATCATTGTATACAAAAAAAATATATATATCGTCAAACCGAATGGTTCATAACTCAACTTTAAATGTATTTTATTGTACTTTGAGTGCTTTTTCACAGTGAGGCAGAGATTCTTGAACATCTTCCAGCAATATTCCTCCTAAGCCTTTCAAATCCTGTTGCCTCAGAAGTCTGAGTAAGCCCTTTTTGTCTCTGATGCGGTATGGTGCTTTGAATAAAAATTTTCCTTCTGTGTTTACTTCAATTTTAGGGTTGTTTACTAATGCTTCTGTCTGCAGCCACTAAAATCAAAAGAAAATGAATTTATTTGCGTTTAGGGTTGAAATGACCTCATTGTCAATAATCTCTTGAGCCAAACTTCTAAAAAGTTTGATACACCAGACATAGTATCTTGCTAGTGCATTAATAAAAAAATATCTGAATTTATTTTAAGCTCAATCACCAGCATTTTAGTTTTGTTTTAAGCCCCATTAAAAAAGGCCTCACTGTGTAGCCAAGTCACTGCATGCGAGCGAGTTTGAAAGAAAATTGACTCTTTCAATCCTGTGAGTTTGGGGACAAGAAAAGTCCAAAATTTAAAAAATGTAGATTAACGGCTATTCATTTGAAATTTAGCTGGCCAAATCGTCTGCATGTTCATTGCCCTCCAGTCTGACCAGGTACCCAGAGAACCACTACCACACTGTATTCATTCTTTTTTTACTTATAGTTATTCAGATATCGTGAGATGCGGTCGGGTGTGATGTGGGTTTCAGAAAAACATTTTCTTTATCGTGCCAACGTTTCGATCTTTTATTGAGATCATCTTCAGGGCCTGGGATTTACAAACAATGTTAACATTTAACAAATNACGATAAAGAAAATGTTTTTCTGAAACCCACATCACACCCGACCGCATCTCACGATATCTGAATAACTATCGATTAACGGTCACTAATCTCTACACATTTTTACTTATAGTTGTACTATACTCATATTCACATACAATTATACTAGCTTTTACCTGTGACTCATCCTTGTGGGGCTGTTTTAATGTACCTTTTTAATGCGATGCAGAGTACTAGTATGGCTTTCTAATAAAATGTCTCATTGCTCAAATTCTTCTGTTCTTCAGTTCACTTCTGTCTATGCATAGTAAAAATTGTCCATATGGGATGGAATTTAAAAAAATCTTTTTTAGCAGCTATTCATCCATCTCATTATAGGAATGCTCTGTCAAAATTTTAGCCCTTTAGATCTAGCGGTTTGGTCTGTGCATTGTCTGTCAGTCAGTCATGGAACTGTTTTATGTGAAACAGTTAAAACATTACCACCAAGCCTGTAATAAAAAATATCTTAATAAGCAAAACTATATCTGTATCTTCCAGAAATCGGAATAGGGGACCCAAAGATTCGCTGTCATCTCATATCAGGTGGCAGTCTTACTCGGCCCCTATATGGAGCCAAGGAATGACAACTTTTAAATAAGTGGGACATAATGAGCCTTTCTCTGCATGTCGGACACATTTGTAGGCCAAGGTTAAACAGTAAATGCCTGCGTGTCAACTGGGCATGGCTAATTTGGGTTAGGATGATCCTTCTTCCGCAGTAAATCCTCCAGGGGCCACACTTATCAATCATGCTCTTGACATGTAAGAACTTCTTGGAGGGCCCCGTTCACTGATGCTGTCACTTTTTCATTACCATAATCTTTACTGCTCTTTAGTATCAGCGATTCTGTTTGCGAAAGTGATGTCTGGAATGTGAGATGTCCTGGCTTTTGCTATATCGTCTGCACATTTGTTGTTCTTGAAGTCCAACAACTACCATTTTTTTGCAGATGCTATCTATATATCTTTTGATCAAAAACACGAGAGGAACAACTGATAATCTTTCTCCTGCAACGCACTCAGGGAATCACTCAGGATGAATCCCTCTCAAATTGCAGAAGTCCAAGGGGGTCGTGTACCCACAACTTAATTATTATTTTTTAAACTTGTTAGTTCACTACCTGTTTAACTTTGGATCCCACGTCGAGCTGGTTTGTTTCGTCCAAAATTTCATCCAAAGTCAACGGATGGTCGTCACCCTCTTGGTGTCTAGTTTTCATGTATTTGACTATTTTAGCCAAAACGCTAAATTTATACTGTGAACTCCCTGTCATAGACTTGTAACTAAAAAAAGATAAAGGGAATGAAAACAAAATCAGCAATTAAGTATAAAACTTTGACAGTTCTCACTTGATGTTTGAGCTGGAGCTTGAAACTTTGGGCTTCTTTTTAGGCTCTTCTTTAGGCATAAAACTGGAATCATCTTTCTTCTTCTTTTCGATTCTATTCAAAAGTTAATATAGCATAAAAGATTAAACATTTTCGTTTTTTAGAGAATGTGAATTTCTGTATTTATTTCACTTACGTTGGGGTGCTTAATGCTTTCTTTTTGAAGAGCTCTCGCTCCCTTAAAAGTGCAGGATCCATTTTTTCAGAAAATACGATTTCGATAAACTTAATAGCTCTTAAAAGTTGGCTTCAAAATAAGAGGTGTTTCACTGCTTTATATTTGTTTGTTAGGAGTAACCTGCTGCAGCCTGTTACACCAACCATAGAATCGATCTGCCCACGTCATGCGAACCGCTCTGCAAAGCACAAATTCAAATTTTAGATCCGAAAGATGGAAAGAAACATGAATTTGTCACACTTTTGATTACAAATTCCTCACTATTTGGTATTGGTTTAAATTGATTTGGGAATTAACAACATAAAATATTTAGGGTACTTTAAAAAACTAAGTTAAATTTTATGAAAATTATAGGAGGTACGTCATGGGGAGTGGACAGAATAAGTATGCTTAAAGTATATAGAAGCATAATACGTCCTAGGATTCTGAATGCTGCGCGTACAGTGCGGCCAATTATAAGGATCTGTGACTAATTAGTTTTCGTTCAGAATGCACATTTGAGAATGGTCTTAGCCGATCAAGCCCAACACGTAGTTTATTTGTTGATGCTGGAGTGCTTCCTCTCATTTATCAAAGAAACATGCTTATTTGGTCTATGCGCCAAAATGCTCTCTATCTCACCCGTTTTTCAAAGGGGAGTGTACTTATAACCTTTATTAGAAGCATTAATCCCTCGATCACGTGATCTATGGATCAGTGAAAGAAGTCTATGAACACCTACTGGTTTAGCCAAAATATGAGCTATAAATTTCTCATTATAAGTCATTGGTTATAAAACATTATTTCTGTTAATCTTAATATATTATTTTTAGGCTTTTGAACATAAAAAATAAATTATTTAATTTAAAGGTTATTTATTTCCATAACTTTTAACACGGGGCAAAAAGAGTTTCCAGGCACCAAGGCAAACACTTTTGTTTTCTACATTTTACTGTCTACAGCCTGATTTTTTGTTTACTTTATGTAGTACTATCTTAAAAGAAATCAGGTTTTGCGTAATTAGTACGATATTAGCCTTCAATTTAGGAATGGGGACTAGGAAGTATTTGTAAGATTGTATATTGAAAGAAAATAGTTTCATGAAATAGGAAATGTACTTAATAAGCGTTCCTCGACAATCATTACGTATCATACGTAATGATGACAACAGTCGCAATATATACAAAACAAAAACTAAACGTCACAAAAAAATTGGATTTTTTTTGGTATTTATCTCGTTAAGTTCGAGTTTCGGGCTCGTTCGGCACTGGTCTGTACATCTGAAAACAAGTACAAATTCGTAGAAAAACATTTTCTGTTGTTTCTACGTTTATCTCATAAACTATGAAGTTTGAGAGCATAAGTCTTGCGCCAATCACGTCAGTGCGGAGGTCTGTACATCTGAAAACAAGTACAAATTCGTAGAAAAACATTTTCGATTGTTTCTACGTTTATGTCATAAACTATGAAATTTGAGAGCATAATCTTGCGCCAATCCTGTCAGTGCGGTAGTCTGTTCATCTGAAAACAAGTACAAATCCGTAGAAAAACTTTTTGGATTGTTTCTATGTTTATCCCATAAACTATCGACAGCACGGTCATTTTCATTGAAAACAAGCACAAATTCGTCGAAAAAAATTCATCAGAATTTTTTTGCGTTTATCTAGTAAACTATGAAGTTTGGGAGCTTTATACTTGCGCTATTTGACTTAGCAAGGTCGTTTCCATTGAAAACAAGCACAAATTCGTCGAAAACAATTAATCGGATTTATTGTTTTTGTATTTTGCGGTTATTTCGTGAACTATGAAGTTCGGGAGCTTATTTCTCGCGCCGATCTAATGAGCAGGGTCGTTTCCATTGAAAACAAGCACAAATTCGACTAAAACAATTGATCGAATTTATTGTGTTTGTTTTTTGCGTTTATCTTGGAAACTAAGAAGTTTGGGAGCTCATTTCTTGCGCCTATTGACTTAGCACGGTCGTTTCCATTGCAAGCAAGCACAAATTCGTCGAAATTTTTTTTCGGATTGTTTGGTCTATCTTGTCAGCTATCGTTTAGGAACTTAGTTTTTCGTCGATGGTACGTGATCACTGTTCACAACGTGTTGAAATAATCAACAGGACAACTCGTGAACAAAATTGTCTCCTATTGTTCCAATAAACCTTCCTCCTCTGGGCTTTTATTAGATTTGAAAATAGAAATTTTTTTTGCAAATGTTCGAACGTGGATGGTATGGTTGTAAATTCGTAGGGAGTGTAAATGAGATTGATGCCCGGGGGGGGGGACGCGAGAAGCTACAATGCCAAACGACACTGGGAACGTGATTCTATCAAATGCAACAGAACCCCGGTTTAGTCAATTGTTCGAAGAGCGGAACGGAAATCCCAACCGCTTCCATTTGAAATTCACTTATTCCAATTGAAAACATAATGCAGCCATTTTATTGCCTGGTTTCTACGGGGACGAATAGAATTCGACATTTCTTTTTTTTCGTTAGTTAATTAGTTGAACACATAGAAAGATGTTTGATTTCGTGTTGGTTGGTTAGGCAAAACTAACTTTTTAAACAATTTTTTTCCATCATGCCAACAAACGTTTACAATCGTGTTCAGAAAAAATATAACCCCATTGCTACAGTTAGAATTTATTCTGGGACATGAGGTTCCCGCATACTTGGTCATCCTAAAAAGGACTCTGAGGATCTTTAACGTCCGCACCTAGCCTATTCAGCCTTATCGGACGTTTTGATTCTCAAGCTGAGAGCTAACGCACCTCCGCATACGACAGGATTGTGTTACTGCCGCAACATTGGTGTAGAGGCAGCTCAGCCCCGAAGGGCCAAGACAAACTCGCTCCCCAAGTGGCCGGGCCTGCATTAAGCATCAGGCGGTATGCCGCGCGCAGAGGGCTACCTAAGCCGAGTTACATCAGCCTGGTCTCCAGCGCACTCCCTAGATACAGAAGGCGACTCTATCTCCCAGAGTATTGGGGCTCCTCTAGCGTCGAAACTTCCGGATCCGCTCCGACCGCGGTTTCGTTTAAAGTGGAAGCAACGAGCTCAGCCTACACCTGCCATGCACATTCGAGAGACGCCATAGGCTTACGCCTTGGTGGTCCGATCCTTCGCTGTCCCACAAGGCAACAACGACGGTCATACGCACAGCTGTGCAAAGCATACTCGAGTAGGAGTAACCGATTCACTACCTGCTCCCAACCGCTACTACTCACGCATTCGAGGGCCTATTCATCATAATCATCGAGTCCTCAATGCCTATACGCTGCCATCCTATCCGCCGTATCCCGTGAGGCCGGGTGAATAACGGTGGTCATACACAAGTTTCGCGCGAAGGTCACACGTAGAAGACAGCCGAAGTTCTCGACAGGGGCGTCACTGCAGCCACCACGAATCCATTCACAACATAACATGGGCTGAATTTTGGAACATTTTGTTACTCCGTGGTACAGATGGTCATGCACCCTCCCCCGTTTATGCAGACAGGATCTGATATACTGACCCTCGTGTGCCTCTGATAAAGCACCCGCCGCCCATGTCGACCCGAGGCCGACACGAGTACAGCTTGTGCCTTAATACTCGACACTTCTCACTCTCTCGCACGGTGTGGGGCTCATTCGCCTTGGAGAACTCCGGCACTGATGAACTTTTTGTCTGAAAATTCAGAGCCAAAGAAATGACTACAAAAATGAGGTTTTTCAACAAGAGATTTGATTACACACTTATCGATTACAAAGGAAAAACATGGGCAATTACAGAAGGTCTGTCGTTATTCAATTCGATTTGAACTTATAGATAGGCGCACTTAAGCTATATTGTTCGATGATTTGTATTTCCATTCAATTAAAATAAATTCAATTTACTTGCTCAACTAAAACAAGAAAATATAATATTTATCCTATCTTCGTTAAAGTTGAATTTATTAAAACACGGTGTCTCAAATTTTTCATGCCATCGCCTACGTTTCTTATTTGAAGAAGAGTGAACGTGACTGAAGCAGTACGCTCTGGGATATAGATAGGGTGCGGATTCTATCCGATGTGTCAATTCCTTAATAAAACCTATCACACATAAAAAATGTACTAATAAATATTTCAATCTAAATCCACGCAATGTTTTTTAATCAATATATAATTACAATATACAATTTCAGACTATAACATCTATTTTGAGGAAATATACAGGTGTCCCATGGACATACGTCAATACTTCCCGTGGTTTATTCTAAATTTCAAATTGCATTATAAAGTTCCCATTGCTCAAAGTTTGATTCACAATTGTGTTCAAAATATTTTACCATTCAGTTTAGTCCAACTTTACACAACTTCTTCCACTAAGGTTTCATTTATCACATATAATTTTAATCTTATTGTAAGTTTTATTACACTAGAGGAAAGACCATTAAAAATCTCATGAGAATGAATTGCTTTACTTGTAGTTAGATGTAGATGTCTAAGTCGGGGTGTGTATTATACTGCCCTTTAAGAGCTGTTGTATACCCCATTCTGTACCGGTGAGTCAAAGTTCATCAAGGAATTTGATAAGAAGGTCCAGTTTCAGTGGTTGAATTTCTTTTGTACATTGGTGTGTTGAGTCTCCTGTGCTTCTTTGCTTAAGAATCTGCACATGCCGTGTTGGGTTATGCCAATGTTCCTTTAGTTTGCAGTGTTCTCTTAAGAATTTTGTTAGGATTCGCAGATTTTTCCTGCTTATCTTGATACATTCTATTGCTTCTTTCATTCCAAAACTTGTAAGGGGGTTCTTGGATGGTTTGTGCCCAATGAGTAAGTTCCATTGTCATTTTCTTTTTATCTTTTCGTCTGAGGTACTGATTGATAGTGCGGGTTCCTATGGGGTTCGGGTCCAATCAGCGGTTTAGCAGCCCCTTTATTTTGTGGACAAAATTCATGTCATTTGTTGTCAATATCTTTAGTTTGGTTTTGCAGTTCAATACAATCTTTGACCTAATGATGTTTGAGCTTAGGGCTTTCATGGCTTCTTGGCTATTTGACATGATAGCTATGTTCTTGTTATTGTACCATTTATTCAAGTTGAATTGAGTCCATCTCTCGATTGCGTCGATCTCAGCTTGGAAGATATTAGTGTATTTTCCCATGGATTCCGAGTATTTGGTTCCAGGCCCGAAT